CCCCTTTTTTTTTCCTTTCTTTAATCCCTTATCTCTTTCAGGAGTGAGTTGTTCCATACGGAGGTTGAGCTGGGAGGGAACCTTGCTCCAGAGGAGAAGCCGCTGTGCAAATCAGCTGGATTTAATGTGAACTTGAATTTAATTTTTAATTGGGTTTCAATTTGGATTTGATGTAATGCTTGGCCTGGTTTCCCTCGGGGTTGGGTTGATCCCCACGTGCTAACTGGGACCTGCAGCAGGTTAGTGAGGGGTAATGGGGACCATGGGGTGGCTTCTTGTCCCCAAACACCCAGTGCTGGACGCTCTGCAAATGCTGCTGTCTTTCTCCATGCTTTTCCACTGATTTGATGGTTTAAAACAGTTATTCAGGGCTTTGAGGGGGAGGTTGAGGTGCAGGTTAACCTAAATTCTTACATACAAATGGGAAAGGTGTCATCATAAGCAGGTGTGTTTTGCCCCAGTGCAAAAAGCAGCTTTCCAAGAGCTGCTTCACTAACAGCTCCGTGCAGCCCCGTCAATCCGGCCTCCTGTGGCTGCTGCCAAATGTTAAAAAGCCGAGAAATAATATTCTTATTTCAGCACAATTATTGCGCCTTTTCTAATAGTGAGTGCCATGAAAAAGGGGATTTGGGTAGGGGAGGCCGTGCTGCTGCTCCTGGGAATGAGCCACATCCCTGTCCCCGTGCCGGGAAAACCTCGGGTTCCTCTGCGCCGCGTTTCCCAAAGGGAGACTTGGTGCCTCCTCCGCATCCTTCCTACCCAGCCCTGCTGCCCCCTCCTGATCTCTGGCGCGCTGAGTACGAGAAGGAGATGGAAACAGAAGGTTTCCAAACACATTTGCCGGGGTTAATGCCAGAGTCTAAACATAAACTCTGCCGGGACAGATTGTTATTGGGAGGATGAAGTGCCAGACAGAGCTTGATTTGAAGGATTGCGGGAGGGAAACGCGGTGCCTCTCTGCAGACACGGAGAACTGCCGGCCGGGAGACGCCGCTCCGGAGCGTTCGCCCTTCCGCCTTCCCCGTGCTCCTTATCCAGGGCTTTGGTGCTGCTGAAGGGTATGTACGTGTGTGGGTTTGGGTGTTTTTGCACATTTTTCTCATACCAGTCCTCAGGAAGTGATACCCCAGCGCAGGGGATACGCACACGCATGTGCTGTTTTATTGCAGGATCATTCCCGTGTTTCTGGGACCAGCCTGAGCTTTCCCATGGATGGGAATTCTAGTGCTCCTTTGGGTGCATGCTGGGGAGCCAGGTGGCTCTCGCTATCCGGGTGGATTTTCCAACTCTTAATATTTGCTGCTCAAAATAGCACAAATGCAAAACTTCACGTTGGTGCTTAGCTCATATTTATCAATATTGAGGTTCAGCCATTGTGAATATTTTACATTATGTGCTATGAGGACAAGCACTTTCTGTTGTTTTATTTTCTAAGCAAGACCTATAAGAGAACAGCGATGGAAGTAACAGTGTTCTTGGAAAACACTTCTTGGAAAAATCACTTTAGCAATGATGATTCCGTGATGCTAAGTAAAGAAAATCGCTGTAAGGTTGCCAGAGATTGCCGCAAAAACACTCATGCTCTGTTGAGGTGGTGTTCGTATTTGAAATTAGCAGGGTTTTTTAGCACAAGTTCTTGAAGGGAACCCGAGAAGGAGCAGATAAAAGCACAAAATGAACTTGGGGTTTGGGGGTGGTAAAAAATGCTTCTTGGTATGCTGCAGTTTGGCAAAAAATTGCCGTGGGGTAAAAGATTTTCTCTCCAAGTAGAAGTCAGACCATATGCTTAGAGCAAAACATGTAAATACTTTTTTTTTTGTCTTTTTTTTCCTCCCCAGAATGAAGGAAACTCGTGCGTTTTTGGCTGCTGGACGCCTCCAGCTGTCTCTTCCCAATCCCTTAGGGAAGCAGAGGAGGGGAAGCAGGCGGCAGTGCCCGCACGGGCGGCTTTGCCGTGTTGTTTGGGGAGAA